AGGAAGAGTGATGAGGGTGAATTTACAAGGGAAAGAGGGGTGAGGGACTGATGGGGGGGAGGAGTACAGGGCTTCAGGAGCACAGAGGGAGCAAGCTGGTACAAAATGTTCAGCCTCGGCAGGAGACACACCCACCGCCGCTACAGGCCACAGAGAAATGAAACACATTCAGCAGTTCTGGGTGGACTGGGTGGTGGGTTTATACATACCTGACTCTCCGTGGTGACACCAAGAAGCGGAGGGGCCGCCTCTCTTTTGTCCCAAAGCCAGCTGAATACGAGCCCCATTTATACCTGCTAATTCTATCACCTATCGACCAGCCTTGCTGACTCTAGCCTGACACGTGGTGCCACTAAGTGAAACACTTTCTTGCAGGACTGTGGCCTCAAGTGTATGAGCAGTCTGGGAGCAAAGTTTCATAAAGTCAAAACTGAGAAAATCATAAAACAAAGCAAGTAAAATGTTCCTTTTTTTAACCTGTTACAGTATGTGTGTGCAGTTACAGCCAGCACGGACTAAATTTTAGTTTAGCAAAGGTGCAAATAAGTGCCTGTGTGTGTTTGTGAGAGTCTGAGCTGAATCTAGCACATCTGCGAGCAGTGAAGGAGCAATCGAAAAGCCAGGAAAGAGGGGAGGAAAAAGAGAGGTGGGTGGTGTGGTGGGAGGGAGGGACAGGGAGGGACAGGGAGGGGTCGGATACTGCCAGAGCTTAACTTAACAACTATACAATAATGGGCAGTCCATCTCCAATAGAAACGTCTTTATTGGTCCTGTATAGCTCAGTGGGTAGAACTTAATGCTAAGGTTTCACTCAAAACATCCAATATAATATATATATATATATATTAACCCAAGGATTACTGGAGAACAGACTGGCACTGAGTGACATTGTAGCAAATGGCCAAGCCACTGATAACACTGTCTCCTCTTACACCCGTCCTCGGGGATGCATCATGCACTCACAAGCACGCTGCAGCACGTGTGAGCACATACATGTGCCCAATATGTGGTCATAGCTCAGTTACTGAGAGCAAAGACCATTCATTTAGTGTGTGTATGTGTGCATTTCCAAGTGTGTGTGTGTACTTAGTTTCAACACACAGATGTACATATATGTGCAGTGTGCAGCTTGTGTGTGTGTGTGTTTGCACATAGCCTGCAGTCTACTGTCTGAAACAGAACATTCTGTTCCCAAAGTGTGTGGACGATGGCTACATGACACAACAAAGGCCATTTGTTTTGTTTTTTGCAAATGAAAATGTATAGATTTGGAAGGTAAACACAAGTTTTTAGTGAAATGCTTTTTTAGTACACAGCTCGGTGTACAGCAAAGATAAAATATAAGCTATAACTTTGCAAAATAAATAGCCAATAGCCATGCATTTCTTTCAACAGTGGACAAACTACAAGCTTTTCCATCCCATTCACCAACTTCATTGACTTTAAAACTCAAAACTTAATGGATAGTACATTACAAAAATGCAAAATGAAAAAACTCCCGCCCAACAGCATGGTAATAAATACATATGTTTAGAGAGCCTTTAGATCTCCCTATCTGTCTTATCTAATCAGCTTATTCAAAAAGTACAATTTCAAAGACATAAACATGCTTAGCGGCACAGAAATTAGGTAATGATGTATAAGGACTGCTGGAAACGCTTCGCCTAGTCCCCCACTGATGGAGCCTTCTGATCCCTCTCCTACTTTTCACCTCTTTGCTAAATGGAACATGTTGTTCCTGCTGCTTTCCACCCCCACCAATTCCACCTCCTTTCTCCCATAAGGACCCAGCCACAGCACGTACCATCTGACTAAACAGCATCTAAACTGGTCGTCCACAAAACCAAAACTTACATGGACATTCTATATACAGAAACAGCTACTGAAAGGTGTCTGTTTCCTGCAAACCATTGGCAAAATGCAACCTACTAAAGATTATTTCTCTATCAGGACATTCCAACATAACAAACCTGGCAAAATACCCCTCCCTGGTGACTGCATGCACTTTTTTTAAACATACTTAACTTTCTACAGCTCATTACCTACAGAAGGAATACACTTGATGAGATGTCTCTAGAGAATCCCATATGACTGAATTGAAGTGAACAATTTTGATTTGGAAGTAAGCAACAGCGATTACAGTAAACAAATGCAATGTTTGGCAGTACGTCAGTGTTGCTAAGCAGCGTGTGTAGCCATGTTGGAAATGAAGTTCTTCTGATAACACTTCTTTTTTTTGTACGCCCCTTGGCGTTTCGGAGAATATTGCTACAAACACCGTGCTGAGCATAATTGCCTCTGTGGAGGTGCAGTGTCTCGTGTAAGTATAAACAAAGCTTTAAAATGTCAAAAGCTCACTCTAGGATTTCTACAAATTAAGACACCAAAAATCTATCACAAATTTTAATGCAAGATCTGGTTGATTCAAAATTGGCACGTAAATTATCATGCCATATCATGCCTTATTCTCCTGTTAATATCTACACTCATAGGTCCCCACCAGAGGACCTACAGAGGAAGATGAGAAGATTAATTCCATAAATATTGCCTTAACCTGAACATTGGCTCGATATGTTGATTTTCTAGGGATAATGTTCTTACCTCAGGTACTGGTTCTGTTTCAGGAATGATCGTTTCAGCCTCCTGTACTATCTCAACTTCAACTACAGTGGACTCCGCTGGTGGAGACTCAATGACTGGTGCTTCTTCAGTGACTGGGGCTGGGACTTCAACCTTGACTTCTGCTGGTGTCTGTTCCAACACTACAGGCTCTGGTTCTGGTGCCTCTACTTGGACTGGGACAGGCACTGCGACAGGTTCTTTCACAACTGGTTTTAGTTCTACTTTTGGAGTCTCCACAATGGGGACAGCAATGGGAACGGCCGCTGGAATCTTTTTTGGTGCTGGAGTTTTAGTCGCTTTCTTTGGGGTTGCTCCAGGGGGCGCACTCACTGCAATCCCCGGGGTTGCCTTGACTGGTGGGTTGGATGCATGCTGCTCTTCGAGGGCTCTCCTCTGGGCCTGCTGCAAGGTAGAAAATACACAAAAACATCAGGGTTAATGATTGTTGTCCTGTTATTATAGTTGGAGCCACTATTTAAGTTAGTTAACTAATTGTGCTGCAGAAAATTATATTAGTTCAATTAAATTAGGCCACCCTCTTCCCTCTTGGGGACTTACTTAGTGTGACAATTTACAGTGAATTCAAAAATGCATTGAGTATCTAAAGCTAACTGCTAATTGACGAAGGTGGAATAAAAATAACCAAATGGGAGTTTTAGGGGTATGAGTGCTACTGATGCCCTCATTGTGTCCAGATACTGATGTTGTTGTCAGTCTGGGGTTCGTTCGTGTCACATTTCTGTCTGCAGGAGTACCGCGCATGCCATCCCAGCCAATTCTAACATGTTTTTCAGCTCTGGACAAAACCCCCTCGGGCTTTAATGGAGATTTTAGGAGCACAGACCACTGGAGGGAGGGGCTGGGTGACTGGGAGTGGGCCCAGCAAAGCTAGTTAGATAATGGGAGGTAATTAGTTGAATCAGAGCAGTCCTGACAGGTCTGGTGAAGCGGGAATGGAAACCGCGCGAGTCAGCAGCCCTGCTGGGTGCCCTGCGGGCCAGACAGTGGACCTAATCACATCATAATCAGGTTATAATCAGGTTACAATCACTCTCCGAAAATGCTTTTGTGAGACCGACAGCCAGTTAGGCATTCACAGTGCTAGACCAATACTGTAAGCCAACGAGGCGTGTGTGTCCATCTAGCCACCGTCAAAACAACCCCTCCCTCATCTTTGCCCAATAATATCTCCCTGTCCAAAAATGCAAACTGCGGTACCACCAAGTAAAATATACATTTAAATTAACTTTAAGTTGTTAATTGTCTTCCCTGGGCTTTATTAATGATGCCCAGACACCCTTGGAGAGAAACACTTTTTTTTATCAAAGTGGGGTTGTTTGCATACAAAGGCATGTGTTGCCAAAGGAGAGCACTCAGTTTGACTTCTTCGAGTGCCCAGCTGCTCCTTCCCCTCTTGTGCTCTGATATCTCTGAGGGAATTAGTGATAACACCCTGCTGTAAGTTACTGCAGGGGCCATTTTTATCTGAGTGTCACTGGCAGACTCTTAGAGAGATTGTGCAGACACCAATCTGGCAAAACTAAGGCAAGACATTCCTTCGGCCAGCACACTACCAAATACAGTTGTGTGTTGTTGAGAGTCTCAGACTGGCCAGCCAGTGAGATGCTTAAGGGGGGGTGGCTGAGGAAGAATGCCACAAACTTCATACGGTCAAGTCTTCCAAGAGCTGGAGGACTGGGCTTCAAGTGAGAATTCAGTGGTGAAGCAAGGGATACTTTTTAAGTTGGAATTAGATAATATAGCATGATTTGAAACAATCAATTATTATGATTAGAAAAGAACAAGAGAAGAATTTTGGGGGATTGGTGTTCGTTTGTGGAGTAACCTCTGCCCTCTGAAATTGGAGCTTCTGCTGTTACTTTCTGATTTATTGTAGACCCCTCCCCCCTCTCTGCCACACCCACTAGACCTCTTTTGGGCACTGAATGTTCAGAAGTACAAATTTCTCCCAGTTACCTAAGGGGGGTGGGGCGAGCCAACATTCCAATCATCATGTCATCGGTGCTGCGCCTTCAGTATATTTAATTATGTAATTAGTTAAACATAATTAGTGTATCATTATAACTGAATGTGGTACTTTTGAGGTTTTAATGAGAACAGAAATACATAAACCTGAAATGTACATCCCAGCATTTCACCATTTTATGCAGAGCGCACGTGGCGCGCGGGTGTAAAGCCAAGAAGTTTCTTTGTCTCTTGTACTTGTACAGAGACAGATGCATCTTTATCTGATCTTGAGCTTGATGTGTCGTGCTACTGAAATGAACTGTATCATTTCAATAGAATTCATTTCATGTGCATTGTTGGTGCAGCCATACATCTTTGAGAGGTTTTACGCGCGGAGCTTGGAGCGCTCCTCGGAGTTGAGTGCGTCACAAGAGAAGAAAACGTAAGAAAAGTCAAATAAGAAAATTATTGTTACAGAATGAAAACATGCCGATATGCCAATAAAAGGAAAACTTCTCGTCTATTTTTTTCACCTTTCTGTTACATCATGAGCATTATTTGTATTTTTATGCATCAGCAATCACTACGGCTTAAAGTAAAAACAATTGTATGTCATTTGGAAAAACGGAGACGCACAGAGTTTAAATAGCCACTAGCATTAAAACAAGACAAATTTTCGGAGGGAAAAAAGTCACCACAAAATCACTTGAGCTCTCATTATAATTAAGATCCTAAAGACTTTGAATATGCTCCTGATGAGAACAACAAATATAAGGGAAATGATGCGCGCTTGCCACCACTTACCACCCTCCTCATGCGACGCTTGTTCTTCTTCCTCTTGCTGGGCATTTTGGTGCGTGCTGGTGAAAACAAGTCAGAACCCAGAAATGAAGCGAGCAGAAAGGCAGAGTGAACAAACTGGATCTTTATAGAGCCCCGGGTCTCTCTCTTACCTTTGAACCGAACCTATGGGAGGACTGGGATGAAAGATGGGGGGCGTGGAGAGGCAGACTCACATACACGTCCCCCCCCCAACACACATGCACGTGCACGACAGCTCAGTGAAATGATTGTAGCAGAGTTGGGCTACCTATTGGCTGGATGGTGGGATATGTTATGTAACCCCTCCATCAAAGCAGAGAGAGAGAGTGGCCCATGGGCTTGTAGAGTGCCACACCCCCTTCCATGGAGCAACCAGAAATACTTTTTGACTCAAGCACATGGTAACAGCCACATGTGCTCTAAAATATTTTGTAACTGCTGTATGTTTGGAGCAGAACATAAAGCATGCTACCATTCCAATCTTATGCTTGAGAAAAAAATGCACACAAAGAGCCATTTGAATACAAAACAGTGTGTGCTTCTGTCAACTCTTTTGAATTCATTCAATCGTGAAGCCAGAGAACAGTTTTCATTGTGCGCATCTTATTCAGGGAATAAAGAGAAAGAAAACATGCACATGTGTTTACGCCCACCGCCCCCCTGCACTGCATCAGTTGTGAGCACCCATTGTCTCCATACTTGTGTACAACTGTACTCATGCATAATTACAGAAGAGAGAAAGTTTTATTATGTCATTCATTGTCCTAATCATGTTAAAGAAACACTGACTTTCATAAATATGTTTCTTTACTTCACATAAGTTGTGCAGTGAGAAGTGAGATAAGTTTTCATTTTTGGAAGGAGGGGTTTTGTTTAGCTGCTGCTGTTATATTCAAACTGATGTTTGACAACATGGCAGTTTCGCCTGAAGGCTTGCAACTTGATTTATTCCTCAACCGTGTGAGTGCAGATGGATTACATGCAAACAGTGCTTCTACATGTCTCCAGCACATCCGTGGTGATCATTCCATGTGTCACTGTAGCTCAAGAAAACTTCAGCAAAACATACAGCTGCTGTTGAACCAATGATGTTTCTGTCACTAAAAGTCACCGGACTGCAAATCTTAAAGTAATGCTGTTACAGTCCGCCTCTTAGAAAGAGTTCAAGGGGAATTTAGAGATGTTGGACACAATAATGCTTGTTTTTCAGAGTCATCTTTTTAGCAATGTTGATGAGAGGATTAAATCTCAATAGCCACAGGGGCACCCTGGTAGCTCACCTAGAGAGTACACATTACAAAAGACAGCCTGAGCACTTTGCTGCATGTCATCCCCTATCCAAAATAATGCAAAATTCAAACAAAAAAACGATATATTAGCAGAGCTGTAAAGCGAAAACAACATTGCTGCATGGATTAAGTATATGACCTCAGTTGCTTTCTTAGATTCCACTAGTGTTACGAAAACATTTGGCCTGATAGTCATGGCTGAGGTTGAGCTATGTACTCGCCTAAATCAGGTCCTCTAAACAGAAATGCTTTTAGAGCATGACACAGCTTTACACTTTCATCAGCCTGTAGCTAATGTAACAGCGCAGACCTGTAATATCACCCAACCAACCGGGTCAGCTCCAAGCACCATGACCCCAATACAAGTTGGGTTTTCTGAGGCCCGGAGAGGTTGCCAGGCTAGTCCATCTTGATGGTTCAGAGGGGACGGCTATCAGGTGACGATTAAAAGTTATCAATGGAATGTGAGTAAGCAGACTACCTCCCTCCCGCCCTTGATGAATGAGAATTTGAGTTTTGCCAAAAACCCTTAGTTTCTGAGTTTTTTTTTTTTTAATGGACCACATGGCAATTTTCTGTAAAGCTACCTTCAATTTCTTATTCCCGATAGAAGAAAAAAAAACAGACAATTAAGTGTCAGACAAGTGGAAATATTGGTCTGGTGGTGTTACTTGATGAAAACTCAACTATTTCATTTGGATTCATCCTCCTAGGACCATGACTGTTTCTACCAAATCTCATATAAATGTACCTAATCCTTACCAAGACATCGAATGGGTCTGTATATTGCCATACACGTATTGCTGTATGTATAAAGCAAGGGAAAGGAGTTGTAACAAATGTTACCACATACTTGCTCAACCGCTGCTGAGATGTGATTTCATTTAAGAGTAATTATCACAACCCTGTGATCAGCCTGTGCTTTGTGATAGAAAAACACCAATCTTAACTCCTTTTAAATGAAAATCAGTTTAAGTGTAAAAACTGTGAAGTGTGAAACACACAAACTCACTTTCTTTCTTTGATATACCTTGCTTTGTACTTCTTCCTCCTTCCAAATGGTGATTGCATGTTTAGCAGTCACTAATCAACGGGACAGGACGGATTTTACTGAGCAGATCAATTTACAGCAGAAATGCATGCCTACATTGTTTACAGTCCTAATATTCTAAGAGGTTGAGTCTCCATTACTTGCAAACATCGGTGTGGACAGTCAGGTCCTGGAGAATGCATTTGAGAAGCAAATAGAATTTGCCTGCAGCCCAATACATGTGAAAGAGGCAACTAGTCGAGTGAATTGTTGCTCAACACGGCCTGTTCACTTGTGAGTGTGAAAAATGCACTCAGAACTTGAATCCTTAAAACTATAAAACTAGCTAACTAGCTGATGGAACCTTGCAGATGTGTTTCATAGACAACAGGATTTTTTATTTAAACTGCAGGAAAAGAAGAAGACGATCCTCCTTGTAATATACTTTGAAACACAAGATAGTTTCCCCCAAATGTGTGTGTCCACTGGGGGTCTCTTGGCAGAAAATGACAGAGGCCTCTAAGTTCTCAGAGCAGAATAAGCATCTTTAAATAGCTAATGTTTACCTGTGTGAGTTATCACACTCTCACACTTACATCAGGCACATACTGGAATGTTGTTTGTCAACAAACACCCCTCCCTATGTCATCTCCATAGTAACTGCCCCTCTCCCAGCAATGCAAACACACACAGACTCACACAAAGACAAACACTACCTAAATAACTCTTTGGTTTGGGGTTTTCAGATTTTTTGTCCAGAGAATTTTTGGCTACAGAGATATTTACAGGAACAGGGAAGGCATGCTTGGACTGTTACTGACTGGAAGGTTTTATGGTTTTCAATTACCTGAATTAGCTCTGGTGTCAGTTTAAAGACTAATGGACAGACTCTGACTCCATCACTTCTTTCACATAGAAACTTCTAAAAAATAAATAAACCAATCTCCAATCAAGATGAAGGATTTTATCCCTTGACCTCGAACCCCCGACCTCATTCCCTCTAGAGCCACCAGCTCTCACCAATTCATGTGACCCCCTGAGATTTCTATTTACCACCAACAGCAGCCCACCCACATACACAAACAGACACGATGTATGCACAAGAACATATATGTATTAACAGTGTATAATCTGAAAGGTGCCACTCTCTTTTTACATGAGGGGAAATGTCACATCAGACCAGATGCAATCTTGGTGTCATCTTAATTAAAAAAATATAAGTCTGTAAATATATGTATGTAAAGATTTGTAAAAGCATACACTGTTCTGATTTTTTTTTTTTTGATTGATAAGTTTTTTAGAACTCAATATTTGTTTAAAAAATGATTTTAATTGCAGGTTAGGGTTGGTCAGATATCAGCAACTGCTAAGATGAACAACATTTCTGAGGGTAAGGGAAGGGGGGAGGACAGGTCTAATAATGCGCTTTTGCCTGAATCAGAGAGAACTGTGGGAGTAAATGGTAGTTTTATCTTTTTGTTAATAAGAACTTGTCTTCATAAAGTGTTTTGCTCTTCTTGCCAACTGTCTCGAGGGGGTGAAGCAAGTTCTACCAGCTGTTTGCATGATAACTGGAGCGGTATAATAGCGCTTTAACCATCACAATTCAGTTCATTACCTCTTTGGGCAAATTCAGCTCAAACTAGTTTGCAACCAGCTTGCACAGCTGATAACAGCCACTACCATTCCAACCAGACTGGCTCAAGCCTTCCCAGTAAGTAAAACTCATTTTGCACCCACACCAATATTTTGTTCACTTTTTGTGTCTGTTTAAATACCTTAATCTGAGTTTGCCTATCTTATTCTCTTCTGCTGTTGATGAACAAATATTAAAAGACTCAAAAACATGAAACAATTTTCTGGCTGACCTCTTTTTTTTTTTGGTCAGCCAGACCAGATTGGTAAATTTAGCATATTGCACAGTGGATGAATATGGTTCAGAAATAGATCCAAAAAACAAACAAAAGAGCTCCAGCAGTTGAATTGAGAAAACTAATATGAAGATTAACATTAAGAAAACGTCACTAAAAGTTAGATAATGCCACTCTCTATCAGTGTGAATGGTTTTCTCCTGGCACACATTTATGGTTTTGCTGAGGACAGACTGACACAATGGCCCAGACAGTCCAGAGTGTGTTAATGAAGAGTCACAGTGGCGATGAAGGCCAGACAGATATAGCAGTGTGGGGAAACACTCACTGAGAGCGTCATCAGACAGTGTATTGCCAGGGACTCTCCAGTTTGTATTCATATCACAAAGCAGCGGGGGAGGGGAGGATAATGGGAGTAAGAGGAGAGGTGGGCCACCCTGGTAATAAAAGCAACTGTGCTCAGCCATCACTCAACGGAGAACAGACTCACATACACAGGCACTTTCTTTTTGCATTCCTTTAGCAGCTCTCTTGCTTTCTTTGACTGCCACGCACAGACATCAAAACATCCCATCCAGTCATTTTTTATTTTATCCGCGCTTCCCTCTCTCTGTGCAGCCCTAAGGGGGTTTCTTCCTCTAAATCTATTCCAAGATCCCACATGTCTCTTCCAGACCAGCAGTATTCAAACTCACCAAAAGACTCAGAGAAATCCTGCGAAGAAAAACCAACAGGGCCACAAACTTTTAGAGGGAGCTCAGTACTAAGGACTAAAGGAGATTGTCTAACACTAATGAACAGATCTCTTTGTTGTTTATTGGAGTGACCTCTTAAACTTCCCACATGTGGGTCATTATACAGAGGCAAGTAGAGAGGCCATGCATTATTCAAACCCACAGAAAAATTGTCCAAATTGTAGATTACAAAGAATCACACCACAAAAGTGTTAAAAGTTAAAGTTAACAGAACATCTACATCTCCTTTTGATGTGATAGTTAATGTTTATAATTTTTAATAATCCATTGGCCTTGACTGTTTTAATCAAAATTACTATGAATATATAATCATATTTTCCGAATGATAACCTCTGAAACTTTTCCAAAGTCAATACTTTTTTGATACAGAGTCAAAATCTCCATACAAGGGGTTGGCCGGTGTACATGTGCCCAACTACTGAAATCACTTATCTGTTAAATTACTCACAGTAGCAGTACAATACGAGCAATTAAATATATAATATATAATATATAATATATAATATATAATATATTATAATATATTAAATATATTTAGTATAGATGTCAACAGATATGACAACACGTCGGGCTGGCTTGGAAAGTGCATTTTGGGCAAAGGTATTTCTTTTTTCTAAAAATTTACTGTCAAGCTGCCTTTGAGAAAGGCCCACCCACCCACCAGCTGCAGTGTGGTTGTGCTGGAGGTGTAAATAAATGCAAGAACTGCCTAAAAGTAATACAGATAAAACTGGGCATGTGCCTGCATCTGTCCACACACTTGCACTGCCCTCTAGTGTTGAATTTTCACTATAAAACAATTCCCCACACTATCAACAGACTATTCTATCAGCCTTTCCTCCCCATAAACAACATCCTGTGTTCTTATGTGTACATGATAAAAAGCGCAAAAGGGAGGTAGAGAGAGAAAAAAACATTAAAGAAAGATAGAGAACAGTGTGTAGCAGCAAACTGCAGCAAGAGTTTTCCATTTATGGGGCTTTGGTTCTGCTGTAGGAGCTGCCAAGAACCTCACATTGTCTCCACTGGACTAATTCACTTGTGTTTTATTTTCAGTGACTAGCTCCTTTACATAACGTAGTTTTGGGTGCTGAGATCTACAGTGCTTCAAGTGCTGGCTTGAACCACCGCTGTACTTTGGCTCTGTCCACAAGTTGAACATATCAGAGAAAAAGATAGAAGTTATGAATATCCGGTATTATATGCTGATCCATTTTAGTCCATAACTTTGAAACAAAGACCTAAATTTAACAGTAAGTAAGAGTAAGAAAATTGTTTGTTCTAGTATATCTCTGATTTATGACTCTCCCCCAACAAGTTAGAAGATCTTTCTTTGTAACTTTTCCCATTTAAAAAGTGAGAAACACCTAATTGTGGGTGCATAATGAAGAAAAAAGGACACAGAAGTTAGAATCTACTGAAGCAGGGTTGACTTAAAGGTCCAGTGTGTAACATTTAGGAGGATCAGTTGGCAGAAATGGAATATAATATGTTTTCATTAGTGTATCAATGCATTCCCATTACCGTAGAATGAGCTGTTTTTATCTGCAGAAGGAGGGGGTCCTCTTCTAATGAACTGCCATGTTTCTACAGTAGCAAAACAAACCAAACACTGGGACAGGGCCTTTTGTGTTTTTTGTTTGAGTTTCACAGTCACCGTAGTTTCTCCTACACACTTGGAAGGCAAGCAGTATTCATTTGGTTGCAATCTGTAACGTCACCATTAGATGGCAATAAATCCTACACAAGGACAGTTGTTCCTTGGAGATTTGTCTGGCTAAAGTGTATGTAGGTCATACTTTTAGTGCAACAGTGGACCCTGCTGGACTGAATGAAAATTATAAAAAAATTTTAAAAAGTCAGACTGGATGGCACATGACTAAGAACCTGTCCAGGGTGTATCCCACCACTCTTCCCAGTGTCAGCTGGGATCGGCTCCAGCCGTCAGCCCTCTAAAGGGTAAACGGGTATAGCTAATGGATGGATGAACGGATGGATGGCACATACTGAAGCTATCAGCTTCAAGAGCATCTATACCTCAAATGTGCCCATTCCGACATTCCTATAAATACCCTCCTAACCTTCTCCTCCTCTTTCACTCTTGTATTCTTTGCCCTTTCTTAGCACAAGATTTTAAGGAAAGGTCTTGTGCCTAAAAATTAATATACAACAGAGAGATCAGTTACAGGGCTGTATTTATTTTTTGTTTAAAAATATGATATGCACATACGATAATATCATATCATCATCAATATGAACATCTTATATTTACACAGAAAAATACAATTATATACAATTAAATATAGAGACATAAAGGTACATTTCTAATTTTATATTTCCAATTTAGACTAGCAGAACGTTGGGTGATATTACAGACATATCTTTGGAGTGACACAAATGTTTTGAGAACTGTTAGTAGACCAGCTACTATGTGTGTATATATATATATATATATATATATATATATATATACATTTTGTCCTGAGATTTAAACCATTCTTATTTACTACTTACTCATTTACACATTTCATTTAAAGTGTTGTCTATATAAAGTATATAGATATAGATATAGAGCACACCTCTGACCTTCAAATACTGCTTCAGCTTTCAGGTAAATACTCTGGAACCCCATAATTACGCAGTGGGTTTATCTAATGCCGCCAAAAATAAAGTAAGCGAAGAAAAAATACAACCCAATTTCAGGCCATGACTCTCAATAAAGTGATGACACAACATAATCATATCAAAATCTACAGAAAACTTAAGTCAAGTTTAATTACCTGAGAAAAAGTTGTTGCTTTGGACCATCAAGTCTTTCTGAAAGTCTTTCTTAATTTGAAGGCAACATGAATACATCTCTGAGAGCAACTGCTACAAGTAAAAAAAAAGCCTAAACCTTTGATGAAACAAACATCCAGCATCTGGATCAGCATCTGTATTAAAATAAGTAGATGATAGTGCCCATGATTTTTTGGCAAACATGTTTGGGTTCTGTACAGGATAAATTGTAAGATAAATTGTGCTTGGGAAATCAAGTGACTCATAGAAAACTGAGTTATGGCCATTTCAATTCATCATGTTGTTGTGCCACCTATCAGCAAAATACCATAATGTTTTGTAGGACTGCACAGAATTAATCTATGTAATCTAAATCTGGTTTATGGAAAAATTGTACTATATGCAGCTCATACAGATATACTGTGTAAATGTACCAGATTTTGTGAAGATATAATAAATTGGTAGAAGTGGTGCAGAAATATTTAATGGAAAATCTCTACTGGTACTAATACATGCAGGAAAAAGGAGTCCAGGGAAGTACCATGGACCCCATGATTCAGAAGACATGAGCCAAAACAAAGTGCTAAATGGCCACATGGTGGCAGCATTAGATTCACACTTGCATCTAATTTTACAAATACCTTTGAAATATCCTGCTAATGAAAAGACAGACAGAAATGCAAACAAACCGGACCAAAAGCATAACCTTCTTGTTGGAGATAACAAAAGCAAGTGGAGAAATTATGCACAAAGATCCCATTTTAACAGTCATCATACATGGGAATAAAATCTATTTTGGGTCTTAAGTGTTTTAGTGGCTCAGAGAATGTGCTGTATACTATGACGTTGTAGCTGTAAGCCTGGTGCCATCTCTGCAGCTATAATCCCCTCTGTGCCAACGACACATTCATTACCACAATAAAAATAAAAGCTCACAATAAAAAAGAATCTTTAAAACGTTATAAACTCCAGTACCAGCTCACCCAAGTCCATGAGGCAGTCCAATAATCAAGACTGTCCATAACCTCAATAAAGGCACAGTGAGACGGTCCTGGCTTATTGTTGTGACTGTGTTTGTGGTTGAACCATATCTATGTGAGGTGGTGGGGTGATGGGACACGCAGGAGCATTATATTCTGTGTAAGCAGGGGGAAGATCTTCAGGCTTAATTCCCAGCTGAAACACACAGACAGAAACATAACGTTTTAATTTAAATACCAGAAAATATAGGTATTTTTGCAGTGAATTTAGCTAAAAGCAAAATCAAAATAGGACATAATCAGTTTGTATCCATCATTGAGAGGTTCACCTCATTATAGGAAGGTGGGGGCCCACAGTAGGCATCAGTGCTATATCGTGGGGGTGACTGGAGCTCCTGGCTGTAGCGAGGCACCCTGAGGTGTTCTTCAGCGTCCTGCTGTGATATGTTTCTAGGGAAGGGGATGAAATATATCGAAGGAGGGCGCCCGTCCTGCTCACTGCGTCTCCACACCTCCCTCTCTATCTGCTCCTCCCTTATGCGGCTGCACGCCCTGCAGAAGGTCGTGCAGAACATGATGGAGAGGCCAAAGCCCAGGATGCCCAGGAAGATCCTTGAAGAGGAAGAGAAGGATGAGGAGGAGATGGGTG